GGGGTCTTGAAGGCAGTCTTCCACTCATCGCCCTCACGGATGCGCACGAGGTGGTAGGCACTCCTGAGGTCCAACTTCGTGAAGACTGCCGCACCCTGGAGAGACTCAAATGCAGAAGAGAGAAGAGGTAATGGATATTTGTTCTTGATAGTAATAGCATTCAAACCACGGTAATCAATGCAAGGACGGAGACCTGCCGTTCAGGTTTTGAGATGTGGAAGAGGCGACTGTTGGGCAAGGTGGCTCCCAGGTACAGGTCAATTGCACAGTCGTATGGCCTATAAGGAGGGAGAGAATCTGTGGCTAGGTGTTTGTTAAACACCTGATGAAGATTGTGGTAGTCCCGAAGAACAGAGGACAGATCCGAGAGCTCAGGAGGAGTGGATGGCGATAGGGCAGTGGGTTGCCCAGCGAGGAGGCAGGTTGATGCACAGGCGGGGCTCCACTGGGTGATGGTGCCAGTAGTCCAGTCCATGGTGGGATTATGTTGGACCAGCCAGGAGTGACCCAAAACCAGTTGTGTATCCGGGATGGTGAAGATGTTAAACCAGATGTCCTCATGGTGGTTGCCGGCAATGGTGAGACGGAGCAGTGGAGTACGATGCATGATGCAAGATTGTCCGGCAAGGAGGCAGGTCGATGCAAAGTCAGGGCTCCATTGGTTGATGATGCCAGTGGTACAATCCACGATGGGATTATGTTGGACCAGCCAGGAGTGACCCAAAACCAGTGGTGTATCCAGGATGGTGAAGATGTTAAACCAGATGTCCTCGTGGTGGTTGCCGGCGATGGTGAAACGGAGCGGTGGAGTACGATGTGTGATGCGGGTCAGCAGTCGGCCGTTGATAGCCCGGGTCTCAATGGTGTGGGGTAAAGGCTCAGCAGTCAGGCCTAGGCGTTCCACCAAGGTCGGGTCCATAAGGTTACCCCCGGCTCCAGAGTCCAGGAAAGCATGATGGGAGGACGTCTGACCAGCAACCTCTAGGAGCACGGGGTGATGGCAACTGGTACCCGACCTGGTGACGTTGGAGGAACAGCCCATCAGTGTCCCCACCTTCACTGGCGGGCCCGCTCTTTTGGCTGCACCGGGCAGGTGGCGATGAGATGGCCTTTCGCTCCACAGTAAAGCCATGGCTGGAGAAGAGCCCGGGCCTTGACTGGAGGTTCCGCTGTGGCGTGGGTCCGGGGGGCCGACTGCTGCCCTGCTCTTTCCTTGCGGTAAGAGCCCTGTTGTCTGTCAATCCGGATGGCCAAGTCGACTAGGGAGCGAAGATCAGGGGGCTCGTCCTTCGTATTCAGTTCGGCCTTGATGCTGTCATTGAGGCCGTGTCAGAAGGCCGCACATAACGGGCGGTCCTCCCAGCCGGCCTCCGTCGCAAGGACCAGGAAGTCAATGGAATAATCCAGGACTCGCCGAGCCCCCTGACGGATGGTTAACAGCTCCCTAGATGCTTGGCTCTGATGAGATGATGGTGAAAAAACTGACCTTAGATCATCCAGGAATTCCGTGATGGTAGTACCGATGAGTAGTCCAGTGGAGTCTGCAGCCTTGGCCCAAGAAAGTGCTTTTCCTCGGAGTCGGTTGATGACATAACTGATCTTTTCTCGGTCTGTGCAGTATGTCCGTGGTTGGTGCTTGAACACCCGGCGGCACTGCAGCAGAAAACCCCGGCATTTGTCCACATTACCGTCAAAAATGTCCGGTTCAGGTATAGGAGGATCTGGGCACGGACTGGCAGAACGGGTGGCAGATGAGTAGTCCAGTGGAGTCTGCAGCCTTGGCCCAAGAAAGTGCTTTTCCTCGGAGTCGGTTGATGACATAACTGATCTTTTCTCGGTCTGTGCAGTATGTCCGTGGTTGGTGCTTGAACACCCGGCGGCACTGCAGCAGAAAACCCCGGCATTTGTCCACATTACCGTCAAAAATGTCCGGTTCAGGTATAGGAGGATCTGGGCACGGACTGGCAGAACGGGTGGCAGAGTGACCGTGTTGGGACAGCAGGACGGTGGTGAGTTGTGCTACTTGTTGTGTTAGTGCAGCCAGATCATGTTGTTGCTGCTGCAGTGCCTGAGCCAGTTGAGCATTAGATGCTGAACTACTTGCACCAGAGTCAGCAGGGTCCATATCAGCCAGTTCCTTCTGTTATGTCTGCTCGGACACAGAGGTGAGCGAGTCGACAAAAAATGACGGATCCAGGTAACTGACTACAGTGCAAGTAGTGCTCAATTTATTTACAGTGATATCAGACAAGCAAGTGTATAACCAGATGGAGGGTGTAGAAAACGGGACCGGGTGTCGAGCAGCAGGTATGGAAAAAGCACAGTCAGTGGTGCGGTGATTGTGGGATGGCCGGGCTGCAGACGCTGGGGTTCACTCCTGGATTGGTCGGGGATGATGGTTGCTGAGGAGACAGAGTTAGTGAGGCAGTTAAGAGAAGACTGTGCATTGACCTACGTGGTGGAGAAGGAACTGAGCAGAGGAGGTCCGTGGTCCGGTGGAGCGACTCGAGGAGGAGGAAACAACAAACGTAGGAGAACACTGCTTGGGTGAAAGGACGTGAGTGAAGGTAAACAGAGGTCTATATAAAACAATCAAAACGACGGGAACTTACGGGCCTGACAATGCTAGAAAGAACTGGCAGGGGAACGGACGGTGAGCGGAGAATAAATAGGGAGAAACTAATCGGGTGCAGCTGGTGGTGATCTGGGGAAAAGAAGCAGGTGCGTCAGATAACATAATCAGGGTAAGGGAATAAAAACAGAGTGAGGGAAGGGAGAGAGGCAGGCGCAGCCGGGAAAACCTGACAAAAACTTTCATTTCTGTTAAAAAAAAGAGTTCAGTTTTTCACATTAAAACTGTTAAAAAGTTACAATTTTGTATATATATATATATAGTCTGTTTTATGAAAAGAAAATTGTTGGGCTTTAAAGGATAGTATCTATTTTTATTAATGTTGTTCTTGTTGTTTTTGTTTTGTTCATACATAAAATACCTTTAAATACACAACATTTCATTTAAAAGGAAAAAATTATTTAAAATTGTGGAAAAGTACTGTATTTTTAGAACATACAGTAGTTATTTTCAATAATTTCATGGTAATATTCTGGCACCCCAGCTGCAAGGATATTGCTTTTTTGACATTTATTTATTTATACATTGTTGGTTAAATCTGTTTAATATACAAATACAGAGAGAACTAGACATTCTACTGACTAACACAAGTCACTGACATCAGCGTCATTTGAATAGATCTGTAATCAGCCACAATTCATTAGCCTTTTCTGAACTGGTCTAATTGCTGCACCATGTCTTTCTCAAAAACAAACAGATATGTTTTGCCACATCTCAGTACTTTGAGATGAATTTGGCTTTACTACCGGCAAGCAACACTCAATTGAATTAAATGTGACCAAAGTGAATGCTCCAAATTAATTTGTCTGGTGCTTTGACTTCAGCCTCAGCTGAGCATCATCTCCAGGTGCCACTGAGCCTCATTAGAAAAAAATGGAAAAACACACAACATTTATATTTGTCTACTCATGGACACATACTGTACACATTGACATAAAATATAAACATATATTTCAAACTTTATTCCTCAACACTTAAAAAGACACTTTATCCAAAGTGTTAGATTTTTATTACTACTTAAGCTTAAAATGACTCCATCACCTGACAGTTAAATCTTGGTTATTGCACTGGCGCCACAGTGCTGAATTCATAAACCAAAATGACACAGCACAGCTAAGGCCCAGCTCAAGAAAACGAATGTGGGCATTAAAGACAATGGCCATTGGGTCAATGAGGGGTGAGGAGAGAAAGTGAATCTCAGGAGACGGAGCAAGAGGGATTTTCACTGCATCAAGTAATGACGACTCAGGCAATATCAGCCTGCCAACGTGACAATGGCGACAGTAACGATCGGTTGTGGTTCATTGTATCAAAGCTGCCCTTTTTGACCTCTAGGTTGCCATGGGAACACATCCTTTCTATAGGAGTGATAGCTGCTGATTGACATCAACTGACACAGTGCTGACAATGACACTCATCACCTGGAGTAGGTAATACTTATAGGCAATGTTTTCACTCAGAGACTGAGGCACACATAATGGTCTCTACAAATCTTTTCCATTATAACCGGTTTAACCATGCTGCCAGATTGTAGCAATGGTGTGACCTATTTGTTGTTATCTGATTAATCACATGATCAAATATACAAACGGAAGCATATTACACACTTTGGTGGTTTTTACAGCTTCCATAAAAGAATACTGACCATGCTGTTTGTGCTGATGTTAGTAGAAAATCCCCCAGTTTGTATATGAAGCATCCATCACACCCTCCATCCCTTGAGGCATACTGCGCATAGAGTACATGAGAGCCCTGGCTGAAACCCCCACAGCACAACCTCACAGGACAGAGCGCTCATGTCCTGTGAGGTTGTGCTGCCTATTGAGAGAGAAAAAGATTAAGAAAACCAGAGCATGAAAGAGTACACCACTGAGAATGACACAAAAAATGAAGGAAAAAAAGGCGGGAAGATATTTGTAAAGTCAAATATATTTAAATAAGCTTCTAAATTTAGCCAGCAGCATCCTGTAGGGTCACCTTGTATTCACAGAATAGAGGTCAATGTTCTCCAGGGAACAACTGTCCTGCCAAATGAACTGAAATTTAGTGTCACTTGGCACAGTAGATGTAAAAGATGGACACAAAATAGATATAAACAACAAAACTAAAAGTCACAGATGGGAGAACTTTAAATATGATCGCAATTAAAAGTGATTAAGAGTGATATTGTATATTTTTTTTATTGTCAGCATATCTTATAAAACAACAAAACTATAAGTGAGTGTGTTCTAGTAACAGTTAGTGTCTTTATACCTCAAATGCACATTAATCCACAGCAGAAAACAATACTGCTTACTCCTGTTTGAGTAACATTTGCTAAAAACATTTTTTAAGTAGTCATACTGTCTTTTGTAGGAACAACTGGGCTGAGGATCACAGACAGGTTGGGGGAGTCAGAAGACGGACTTACACACTCGATCTTGATCTTTTCATCTTTTCCTTACTTACTTTTGTTTTCTGTATTTTCAAAAGGGCCAATCTTATCCTCCTCTCCTTATAAGATATCTAAAAGGTTTTATCTCCAGAGTCTGAAAGTATGTGGATTGCATCTATTTTGTAAAACACAGGGAAAGAATCTACAACTTCTACAAGCACTGTCGCAAAGCTGCAGCGATGCAGTGTACTATAAGTCACAATTAAAATGTAAACATGTGCACGAACAGCACATTTATCCAGAGTGGAAGGCTACAGTTAAAAAACATGAATTAAATGTCTTTTAATAAACATTTCAAAAGATGTTCAAACTTATGATTTTACTATTGTTACAGCAATGTGTCTCCTCTGAGTGTAAAATACACCAGTGAGTTAAAAGGGTTGCTACTATATTACATGGATGACTAAAAACTTAATCTTATTTTAATGCAGATCTCTCATTTCCTGTCTATCAAGGCACTGTCTTGATTAGAAAGAGCTTAATTATTCCTAAACAAAAGCCTGGTGGAGTCACAGAAGGGAGGTTGTGGCGCTGGCTGTTGATATATCTTTGTGTAAAAGGTCACACAGGTCTGGCGGAAGAAGCAAAAGCAACAACCATCTGTGTTTTCCACACTCTGTGCTGTAGCTATCTAGACCAATGAAAACTGGGCTGAGCAAAGACATGCATGCATATAAACATCACATCGCTCACTCATATCTGCCTTGTCAGAAGGGGGTGGAAAGTCCCCAGATATGCTTCCCTATTGTAATGTGTGTATCATTGTTTTTGCAACACACACAATTTATGCACATGCTATTGCTCATAATGAGTCCTCATTTATCAGAGATTTGACTTATGGTTTGTGTTGATATTGTGTAGAATGTCATGTTTTCATTCATGTGACAAACTTTCAAGGACAATATATGTAGCACTTTGCAACGCAGTCATTTACCTCTAGAATAAAAGCACTCTAATTAATGTCAGACACATTTAACCTATATGGGTTTAAATGACAGCATTTCTTTTGTTGCATTCTGTGATATAAGTCCCACAATGTGCTCACACCTTCAGCTGGACTTGCGTGAGACTATAGAAAAGCTCTGCCAGAGACGTGTTTCACTGGCACAGCCTCAGACTGAGAAATGTGAAAACACTCACAGGAAGTGTAAATTTTGACTTGGGGTTTTTTTCATGATGCTATTGTTTTCCCTCTGGATCCTTCAGTGCTGTACACAATCAAAATAGTGGTGCTGGATGGCACACACACACGTGCTCGCTCATTACGTTTACTCCTCATATGTAGGCATGTGCCATACACACCACACACAGAGCAGATCTCATGATGGGAATTCATGTTTCCTTTATGTTCATGTTGCCCCATGGAGCCTGAGTGTTCAAGGCTATTAAATTGATAAACAAAGAGATACTGCAGAGTCTAAGGAACAACATATTGCAGTAAAAACCTGCATAGAAGTAAACCACATCAACTAACAGTCTCACAATGGAAGGTCTCTACATTGCTTATTATTATCTGACACCAAAAGCCAAAATATAATGTTTAGACAGTTGTCCTTTTGTTTTTTGGAAAGGACATAAATGATTTTTTGTTACGGGGCTCCTTGATGATTTTCTTTTGGACCAGTCAAACACAGTTTTTTAAGTGCAGCTTGGAAGTTGTCTCTGCAGCCTTGTGGGGTGGCTGTGGCTCACAAGGTAGGGCAAGTCGTCTTCTGACCAGCAAGTTGGTGGTTTGACTCCCGTTCTCCCCACATGCCTAAGTATCCCTGAGCAAGACACTGAACCCCAAATTGCTCCTGGTGGCTTGACCAGTGCCGTTGTGTGGCAGCCTTGTTGTCATTGGTGTGTGAATGGGTGAGTGGTGTATAATCTCCCTGTAAAGTGCTTTGGCCAGTGCATAAAAGCGCTATATAAATACAGTCCATTTACCATTTAGAGAAAAAGAATTACACATTCATCTGTTAGCAGAGTCTGACCTACTCTCTGGACTTGAGGCTAATTAACGACAATGTGACAGCCATTGTGCTGTAGCCATGGCCTTTTACTACAGAGCAATAATATTTTGTTTCTCAGTAATAGAGCAGTGCTGCCACTTTATCTTAGAATCTGCTGGTCATAAAACAAACTGTGCTGCTGAAATTACAAGTTAAGGAGCCACTAATACACCACTCAGTCTTTATTTGGATAAGCTATGTATTATTTATTAAGAATGTACATGGTGATGACTACAGCACTATAATAACAACATAACTCCAACATTTTCGAATATAATATAATGTGTCTTTGCCTTTCAAATGACACCATTGATTTGCTGTGGAGTTCGGAAGGCCCTGTGGGGAAATAAACCAGTATTTGTTTTGATGATTTGCTGACTTCTGTGCTCCACCTGTTTATTGCAAAACTCTCTGTGTGCATGCATAGGCAGTGAATTGGGGGGTGTTCAGGCTTTATATGGTTGGCAGAGTGACGTATACACTGCTGACAACACGTTTTCTTATTTCACTCAGGTTACACAAAACTGTTTTTATGCACAAAGACGCCTGACTTTCTTGGATACCAGCAGTTTAATAAGTTTAATATATGTCTCTCGTCACAGTTCTGAAATCATCTCTGCACCCTTCAGTTTTCTGCCATTTTAATAAAGTCTGTTGTTCAGTTATATACATTTTCTGTGCCCTGACATCTCTTAATCAGGATCTAAAGCTCAGGGCAGAAATATACAGTATATCTCAGAAGGCTGCTGCGGTCCTTACTGGTTGGCCACAGCTGAGAATCAATAGAACATGTCAATAATGATTACAGCAGCCAAACGCTTCGCCATCCATTTACAAAGGTGTTTGGGTCAGAGTGAATGACCTCAGCCTGATTGTACTTTAACATCTCATACATCAATACCTGAACTTAATACACTAATGCTAGTTTGCACTGTAGCATGATTAAGTGCCCTTTGTTCTTTTTTGTTTGTTGGTTTGTTTCTGGACACACATGCATGCAGAGAGTTCTGCAATACACTAACAATTGTGCCATTAAAAGATAAGGCCGGTCATCTTCTATACAGTATTAATAGTACTTTCAGCAATCTCTATACAAAGGCTAAAACTGACAATGAATCGCCTCTACTCACTGTTAATGTCTGTCAGCTGTCAGTCCTGGGTTAGTTTGTTAAAATTAAAAACACATCAGGGAAACACACCACTGCACTGGGTGACACATTTTTTCATTATGAAATCCCAAACCCGACTAGTTTGCCCCAAACTCTCAGTGCGGCCATAATTTCCTGAAGTTAGCAGGAGTCAACTGCACATGCACGAGGTCTCATGCAAGCTCTCTGCTTAGTTTTCATTCTGACAGCTCCTCACATTCAGGTCTGGGGTTTGCTAATGAGGAAATATGTCATCCAGTGCAGCATGTGTTTCACTGATGTGTTTTTAATTGTTTGTGAACAACATCAGAGATTTATGTCACAGATGAAGAAGCCGATCCAGTGCTGACAGCTGACAGACATTAACTGTGAGCAGAATCAGTTCGTTGTCAGTTTTAGTCCCAGTATGGGGAGTGTTGAAAATACTGTTAATATAGAAAATGACCAGCAGTATCCTTTAAGGGCCACAAATCTAAACCTGCGCTTTCTAGTAATCTGCTCTATTAAAATGTGATGTCGCATAGCTTCACTCTCAGAAGGGAATAGAAGCACTCAGAGTATTCATTCAGTTTAGTGTCCAGTCACTGGCAAAGCAGGTGTTATGGATTGCCTCAGCTCTGGGAATGTGTTGCTGACCCCTTTCCCTGATCCTTTTCCTGTTTGGCGCTGTGTATGCAGCCGAATGGAAGAGAGATAGAGCTGATTTGTTCCCTGTTACTGAAACATGTTTTTCCTAATATCTCCATTCCCATTTTCTCTTCCAGTCAAGTCATGTTCCATGTGGGGTGACAGAGCACAGCACACAGCTACAGACGGTCCAGGAAATTTGTCTCCTCTGTCCAAAAACATGTTTTGACCATCTGTGCCACATCTGGATGGTTATTTACTTCTAAAAACCATTCTCTTCTGGAGCCACATGACACAATACTCTTGACAGATTTTATTTGCACACCCTTCAAGAGCAAAACATATTTTGCACAAATGAAAAACAAAAAGGTCATATAAATGTGAGGAGAATACATTGGCACAGCCACAAGAAAAGAGCAACGCTATCTTTAGTCATCCAATTCAAAGACAAAAGGTTACTTTATGGCAGCTATAAATGTGCTACTACCAACACATTAAGAACTGTCTTGGCTTCAACGCTGCATAATAGTACAGTAACACATTGTAACAAGTGGAAGCAACCGAGTAACAGTGACCGACTTGTTTTGGTGGTGTTATTGCAAAATACATTACTCACTGTCCTTATTACACAAATAGATTAATTACTGCATGTTCAAAACAAAGCTTTTCATAATTAATGCCATCTTTTAGTGACATGCTTAGAAATTCAGAAATTGATACATTACATACACAAACATATTTATTCTTTTATGAGCCTAGGCAAGTGAAAAAGATGGCACCCACACAGTTCTCTACGTCTTAGAGTGTGATAGAGCTTTGCACCTGCAGCAGAGCCTCATCTTTCCTGCATCAAACCATCTGGAATGGGACTTTTGCTGTGTAAAAAGTATGGGTCTGTATGCTGCTGCAGCAGTCAGGACCAGAGCCCTGTGGCGATACAGTGTTTCTATGCTCTATCACTATCCATTTCAGCTCTCCTCCCTGAGGTCTGCTGCATTGTTTGACCTTCAAGTATGTTGAAGAGAAGGAAAAAAGGTGAGATATTCCCATCTCAGAGTGTGGGCGTCTAACCTGCACTGAGAGCTGTCAAATCAAAGACCTCAAGTGGAGAATGATCCTAGCCTCCCCCTTGCGCTGCACCAAGGTGTGTCTGTCCTTGAAAACCCACCTTGAATCCCAGGCTGGAGCTAAAAAGTTTGTTTCTTGAACCATCAGGCTCCACACAACCAATCAGTTGTCTTCCAAGGTTACCTAAGGGGTTAATATCACCAGCCTTCCCCCATTTGTTGCTAAGGAAGTGTTGCCTGTTGTGCAGGAAACAGGGAGAGCAGTTTCCTGTTATGAAGAGAGGTTTTTAAAGGGTTGCCTTCATTCAATCGTGCAACAGATGCCGGGCCAGGAAGCTCGGCCAAAAGCAAAGGCTTTGGTGACCTAGAGAAACTGTTTTTGGAAACTGCTTTTAGGAACCTTTCTATGTACTGTTCAAGTTCAGGAAATAATCCATGAGCAAAACATGCTGGAGAAAACAGTGAGAATCTGTGCTTGAGTTCTGAGAATGATCCTCTCTATACATGATGTTCCAGTCATTCAAAGCATGAAAAGTATGTCATGTAACAGTTCAACAGCTTATGTAACTGTATGGGTTGTAGCCTTTTAACTGCTGTCAAAGGTATATCTCAGGAGAGACCTATACCATACATCAAAATGGGGCAGAAGTGAGCTTCTCTGTGCACAAAAACAGTATAGCTGCATATTTAAAGCTGTTTATCAGTACAACAAACCACTGGAAATGAACTGACGCTCATATTTATATTCCAAATCTTTCATACCAATTGGATTTGGTCTAAATCAGTCAACCTGCTGCCTCTAGAATATTTCACCGTAGTACACATCTGTGGTGCGGTGTCCTGAAACATAACACGGCACCACAGATGTAAATCTAATAGCCACCCACATGCTCTCTGTGCAAAACCTTCAGCTCTGCTTTGTGCGTACTGCAAAAATGAATCATATAGAGTGGCGCTGGTTCGCGCTCCATGTCCGCGCTCTGCTGTAGTCCTGCCTCAGGAAACGCCAGGCTGCACCTCCCGTTTCCACACAGGAGCGCACCAGTTTACTGTAGCATCAGCACTGGAGATGTACGCCGGCTGAAGGCTCAGCTGCCAACTCTACGACCACAGGCGTCTTTCTCAAGTAGACTTTCACTAGAGAAAGCCGAGAAGAAATATTCTATAACTGTTCCTCTGCAGCTTGATTTTCCCGCAGTGTGTTTGTATTTGGATTAAGTTTCCACGCTGTTCAAAGGAACAAGGTCCGTGTGGACAAACATGAGGGTAACTGTCGGGTTCCGTGGATGATGATGTCCCACAATGAACGCAGGTTGGTTGTTTATCTTTTATGTTCCTGTCAAGAGTCCACATACCGAACTTTAAATGTTTTACAGGGAGCAAAATTTGTCCGCGTGTATATTTAAAAGGGAAAGACCGTGGTATTAATTTATGACAATTTTTAAATTCTGTTTGAAAACGCATTTCACTTTATACATGCAACATATTTGACACAGAAACTGATAACCCGTGAAACTTGATGCAGCCTGTTCGAGTGCTTGAAATGAGTCATTCCAAAGGTAAAATGAACTTTGGACAGAATTATATAGATTGATCGTATGACTACTGAAATTTGTATGTATATGATGCACTTTGCTTCTCAGAACAGCTCTAGTGGGATGAATTACTGTATGCAGGCTATACAAACTAGTACTTTAAATCCATATCTATGCATTAACATGAGTCTCAGTACCGTTGCTCTGGGAAAACCGCTGTGTTCTAGGATTAGTACTGGAGCTAGAATTCCCATTAAAATCCATAAAGTGGACAGTGCCACTGCTGTACAGAAGGTCGCCTGTCTTACAAGTGTCCTGTATGTGAATTAATTCTAAAATAGCAAAAAGTGAATAAAAAGAGGCGAAATTGTTCTCCAGTTTTATTCTACTGCCTTGTCACTTTGGATGTTGAAGAGCACAGTGTGAAATCATATCCTGTGTTTGGCACAGCCAAGGTTCCAGTGTCTCTTCCTTTGTTTTTCAAACATTTGTTATAAACGAATTTTTGTTGCATAATTCATATCCTGTTGTTTGCAGTTAGGTACATTGTCAGATTCGGACCCTTGTTTTCTTTCCCAGTTTTATTGTTCTTTGACTCACTCAAATGACAATTCCACCAAAGGGAAGAAAAGAAAGAATAGTGTGTGTCTGTATGAGGTAATGTGTGTATGTTTCATGAGAACAGGAAAAATGATGAGAAGGGAGTTCATTTGTGTTGTGAAGATATGTACCTGAGGAGAGCTTTATTGAGTGATACGGGGTAATGTTGTTAATGTCCTAGGGGAAGCTTTCCCTCCTGGGCATCCAGCATGGAGTCTTTCAAGGAAGTTCTGCTGGGCCGATTAATATACATGCACAATTTAAAAAGAAATCCATAGTGACATTCATAGAGAAAAAGTATCTGTAACTGTAGGTTCTTACTGCTGTCTGCAGAGAGAGAAAGTGAAAGAAAAGCACGCTGGCCAAAGGATAGAGAGAGAAAACACTTGGAGATAGCCAGAGCGCACACAGGGCTTAATAGGATGTGCGTCAGGATAGGTACTAAATAACAGGAAGAGACAAGGGGTGTACACACTTTAATAAGCACGGGTGTGTTTCAAGGCAGTTCTACATTATTTTAGCAGTGCTCTTTAGTAATTAACACTTTACTAAATGTAAAATCCAGATTTAAAGACGTGACAGTGTCACAAATTGATGTTGTGATAACAAATTAAAGCTGAGTAATCATCCTTGAATCATCCTTCATGTTGCAGTTTCTAAGCACATAGGGAATTTTGAGGAATGAATTATGAAAACATATACATTTTGATCTAAATCAACTGCTGATCCAATCCTGCATTAAGCAACTAACTTGCATGTGTCACTTCCCAGACAGGGAGATGTTA